TAAAAATAAAAAAAAAAAAAAAAAAAAGTAGCCCCCTCTGGTGTTTCTTCTCCCCTCCGAGGTAAGATACGGGGTAGAGGTACCTGTCAGCCGAGACCCCGCATCGTGGGGAGAGACCGAAGGCCTGCCATTCGGCGCTGCCGCCTCACCCTCAGCGCACTGTGTGTTCGTTGTGTTGATAGAGCATCATATTTTTCCTCTCAAGCCCTTGTGTATGTGTAAGTGTAAGAAGATGCTTGCTTAGCAGCATACCAGCTCAGTCAGGAGCGATGGCAGTGCCAGGTACCCACAGATTGTTCACATGGGTGGCCGAGAGCGAGCGCCACGTTTGCGTTCGGATGGTTCCGTGCACACAGAATTATGTAAGAGTATCAAGTTCCCTCGGGCTGTGTGTACAAGGGGTGGTATGAAACATGAGTTGCGTACTCGGGCTCGGGGGCGTGTCCCCGCTAGCTCGTCACGCGTGCAGACGTTCCCCCACCGCAGTCAGGGGCGCTCCATTGACGTTCAAGTCCTGGTTCTGAGCTCCTGTGGAAGGCTGGCCTGGGTGGGTCTACACGTAAAGCACTAGAGTAACTTGGATCCCTTCTCTCTCCAGGCTGGCTACTACTGAAGAATGATCCTGTTCAGCCTCCTGTTGCCTCTACTGAATCCCTCCTCTATTACGTGTGAATGAACCAAGACATTTTAAATCCTGCCAGAAACAGTAAGAGAATATGCCAGTGCACTATGATCAAACCCGATGGTCTTTGCCGCTCACCATTAATAAAACCTGGTTACAGCTAGACTCCAAGAATGCCCCCAAGTGAGGACCTTCTAGATTGTGCTTACACACACCTTAGAGCGTTGGGCTAAATCCCAGCTCCTGAGGAGGCAAAGGAGTCTTAGAACCCCCCGCCAGTGACTTCACACCAGGTCGTGGGACTCCACTCCCCGCCCTGCTGCTGCCATCATTCTGCGAAGCTTTCCTGAGCTCAGCACTGCCCAGGCTGCTAGCGGTCCTCTAAGGCCTAGCAGCGAGGTTACCTAGCCCCGCTGCCTTCGAGGTTCGAGGCACTGCAGTGGGTATTGTGGTGGGGTGGGGTGAGGAGTAGTGGTTGCTCCTCTTCCGTGGCGACGTGAGGACTTGACCTCCAGGAGCTGGCCCTCTGGTCAGAAGTGCCATCTGACCAGGCTTTGTCCTTTCTCACCCATTCTCTGTCAGCCTGCGTCGTGTGGTTTGTGACAGCCTGCTGTGGCTGCTCACAGATGCCTTTTCTGACTAATGTCACTCAGAGCATCTTCTCATCTAGGGCCTCATAGGAGATGGTGGCCAATTTCATGCAGGTATCACCTGTCACTCTCCGGTTGGAGGTACAGAATGCTACATCTTATAAACCCTGGCTGGTTGGGCGGCATGGTGCGTAAGGCAGCTGTTAGATCATCGGGAAAGTATGACGCATTTCAGCATAGAAAGCCCTTTCCCAGTGACCTAATAGATCCCACGTGGCCAACTCTGCAGTTCAAGCCCTGGACCCGGGGGCTCGGAAAACACCAGGCACATGCACATACATGCCCCAAATCCTAAGAGAATGGAGGAATAGGGATTGAAGAGTGGCAATCCCCCTGGGGTTGATTCCTCTTTCTCTTTCTGTCTCCAGCCAGCATATCTACACTATAGCAAAAAAAAAGAAAGAAAGGAAAAAATACATATATTTATCTTCCCTCAGTACTCTACAGTTAGAAGTTAATAATCTTCAAAGACAAATCTTTGATGTTTCTTATTTCTGTAGCACAATGCAACTGAGTTTCAGTTTCTTAAACCTCAGAGAGATCCCTTTCTGAATAAATTGAACCCACAGAATTTAAAATTTTCCTCGCATAAAAAGAGGCCTTGGATATTAAACTTTGGGGCTTGGGGGCTTCGTGGGGCAGGTACTAGCGTGTCCTGAGAACAGTGGCACACGCCGGCACAGTCGGCCACGCAGAGGGGAGGGCCGATGGGGAGAGGGTCTCCTGAGCACGTGAGAAATTCTCATCAGAATCTCGAACGGCCAAGATCCCAGGGAGACGGCCACGTGGGAAAGTGCCACCGAGGCCCACAGAGACGGGGCTGTGCTGTGTGGCCGTGCTGTGCCCCGGGTCCTGGCTGCAGGGGCTCCGCCTCCCGCTCTTCGCTACGCAGAGGCTCCGCCCACTCAGAATGTAACCCACGTTATGGAATGTGTAACCAGGGCCAGCTGGGGGTGTGGGGGTTAAGGTGCTGGACCCCACGTGGCCAACTGTTTGGCACAGTTTAAGTCCCAAACCTGGTGGCTTGAAAAACATGTAGGCACGTGTGCATGCATGCCCAAAATCTTGAGAGGAGAATGGAAGACAAGAGATTGTGGCGTGGTCATCCCTCATGGGGGGGTGACTTCTCACCTTACCTCTTACTGTGTCTGTCTCTCTTACCAGTTAGCACATGTGCCCTAAGGAAAAAAAACTAAAAATCATCCTGTTGAATAACTTGTTCCACTAAGGCTGTCTCTATGTGTTCTGTCTTTGTCACATGCAAGATGTCAGTAATTAATCACTAGCCTAGTTTAGGGACAAGTTGTGTAAACTGCAGCCCCATTAGAATAATCAGTCATAAAATGTCTTAAAGAATTTTAGTATGGATTTTTAATTATAGTGTACTGTACATTATAATTTTTCATTAAACTATGGGCTTATCTACTAACATATTCTCCAAAATAAATACATTCTATTTCATAAAATTGGCACGGACTTTAATAATATTCTTAGCGTGGCACGCCCAGCTGTACCCTGTGGAGATAGTCTTGCGTCTGTCAAAGCTGGTATTTGCTTTCTTTATTGTGGTTTCTTATTTTAAATTCCTAACTTTATATTGTGCGTATGTGTTAGTGGCTACGGTAAACAGATTTTCCGGCGGCATCCTTCCACCCCCGTTTGCCGATCTAAAGTAAGTGTTTCTGTAAGCATATTCTTGCCACGCTAACCCCACAAAATTCAGCACAAAGACCATCCCAGGGCCGGTGCGACAGGCCTGTGTTTGAACGGACGTCAGCGTGTGAAAGGACTCGGTTCCAGTGGAACCTCTGAGGTGCTGGTGTGTGTGGTGGCCCAAACTTCCTGGACTCAGGACCCGTTTTCCTTCAACTCTAATCACCTTGGGACGCACCTGGGCAGGTGCAGAGTCCAGAACTGTCTCGCTGCTTGCTTGGTTAGGCTGTGTACCTACTTGTCGGGCACACAGTAGGTGCTCACCGAGGTGTTTGATAAGGGCTCCTGCCGCCCTGTGAGAGGGAGGCCTGGAGCGCGTCAGCGCCGAGGACAGCGCGGAGGTGAGCCCACAGCATGGGACTTTTCAGGAAGGTGCCCCGCGCATCGTTTCTCGTCGACCTCGATGGGCACGTCTGTCTTGTCTGTGAATGTGTGTCTAGATGACAGTGCCGAAGCCATGCAGCAGCGGCAGTGCTAGGGCCTCCGCGCTCTGGCCAGGTGTGACCTGATTCCCCGTTGGCCTGAAGGTGTTCACCCACCCAGGCCTCAAAGAAAAGCACCCAGGAATTTGGAGTGGCATTGAATCCACCGCAAGGCTGTGGCAAGCAATAGGGCTCTGTGAGACCCGGCACTGCCGGCTGTGGTGAGGACACACCTTCTCAGTCTCAGGGTGAGAATGCGCAGGGCAGGAAAGGACTGGGGGAAGACCCTGGGCAGGGCCTAGCGACACTGTCCACGGGGCACAGAGGGCCTCCCTCCTCCCACCTCCCCGAGACTAACAGACGGTCAGCAGACTATGCCAGGGAAGGGCGTGACTTTTATGTAACAGTGGCTTTTGCAATTTTGTTTTGAAGTCTCGTTTGAAGCTGTTTCCACAGTCGAAGAATAGTGACAGTCCCGAGGATTCTCACACTTGCAGCTGGCTGGCATCTTCTCAAGTGCCGTCCAGGTCAGAGAAGAAAAAGCCAGGACGCCCCAGCAGACTGGTCAGCCGTGCAGAGCCCACCGAGCGTCACCGTGGTGCCAGCCGCAGCTCTCTCTGGGGAGTGGTGCACCTGTCCACCCGCACCGGGCCCCACCAGTGCTCTCGGAGGGCACGCTGTGCACGTGTGTGCCGGGCTCAGCCACTCCGTCTTCTGTCCTCAGCTGCTCTGCTAGTGCCTGGTAGTCAGGACCCTGGCCACCAGACCCAGCATCAGTGTGGCCAGTGCGGCCCCCAGAGTAGCCCCTCTGCGGATGACCAGCTGTTTGGCCGACAGTCTGCGCTCAGGAGCTGAAGGGATGCAGCTGAAGAGGTCCCCAGGGCCCTCAGGGCGTGAATACTTCATCAGGGTGATGCTGGGGCAGCTGCCGGTAGCCACTGCAGGGCAAACGGGAACACTCAGTCATCCAGGCAGGGCCCTGGCCTGGAGTCAGGTGCTAGGGTAACCGAGTAGCCGCATGTTTCGCCCTCGATGCGAAGATGGGAACACGCCTGCCTTTGCCCGACAGCTGGCCCCGATGGGGAGCGAGTGGGGTAGTGATTTCACCTGTGAGTCGTGCAGGCAATAAGACGGGAGGCGTGTGCCCGTCTGAGCCCGTCAGAGGGCGAGAGCACGGCCCTTATCTCTGCCTCCCCGGTTGTGGGACCGGAAAGCACCTGAGTTCTTGCAGCCACTTGCTCGGCTGAGGTGGGGATGCATCTGGCCGCCTCAGCCTGCCCAAGTGCCTGTCAGGGAGTTGGGACTGTCTTCCTGGGGTGGGGCGTCATTTTCGTGACAGGAAGAAAAACCCCCTGAGCTTACGCAGTTCCACGTGAGCCTTCCCATCAGGTGAGGCGCACGGGTGGCCGAGAAGGGGCTGCTGACGTTGCACGGGCGCCAGCACAGACGTGTGACGGTGTTACCTGAAGAAACGGCCGCTTTCTGGGGCCCGGCTTCGGGTCTGGGGCCGGGAGCTGTGCTGTCCGCCGCCTGCTGCTGCATCCCCGCGTGCTCCTGGGCCTGCAGGAGAGCGCACCCGGGTGGGCGCAGCGCCAGCGCAGGCTCACCACCAGCCTCATACACCTGCCTTGAGGTTGGTGAGGGACAGCACCCCCAACCTCGGCCACACGTGGGCGCTGGCATGCATGTGCCCATTGGACTCAGGTCTCCAGGCATGAAACTGGGACCCGCCCACGTGTGAGTCAGCCTTGCAGAATGTCATGATTTGCTGCACTCCTGTCCACCCCCCGCCCTCCCTTTAACATGCTCAGAGCAATCCAGATCCACACGTTCACGGCCGTGGGCAGTTTCAGTCGTCCTCATGTGCCAAGACGACTTCATAGGTGACTGTATCTTTGCACAGAAGCAAAGCCACCCCCTGAGCATTTAGGGTCCTAGCAAGAACACCCCTTATGTCCTCTGCCAGCAAACCCAGCTGTGCCTTCAGTGTCTGAGAAGCAAACAAAAGGTCCTCCAAACGGCCAGCAGGTGGCGTGGTGGCTAAGGCACTGGGCTCTCACATGGCGACCGCGCTTACAACCCTGACCTTGCGGTCTGACACCAGATGGTGTGTGTGTGCAAGCTGAAATCCCGAGAATGAGAAGGAATTGCAATGTGACCATGCCCCCAAAGGGGTGATCTCTCTCTCTCCGCAAGCCCATATGACCTATATCTTAAAAAATTAAAAAAGAAAAAAAAAAACACTTAAAAAAAGTCACACAGGCCCACCACGGGGCCACAGATGGTAGGGTGGTCTAGCGGTCCTGCAACCACATGGAGAGCCCGGTCTGGTTCCTAGACCACTCTGAACGTGCGGGGCATGCTGTGGGCACACCTGTGATCCTAGCTGGTTGGAAGATTTGAGGCGCAGGTTGTGGCATGGTGGGACCCTGGCAGGGGTCCCTGTCTCTTCTCTCCTCTGTCTCCCTCTCTCTCTCGACTTTTTACAAAAACAGTTTATCCAAGAGGGTGGCGGACAGGATGACTTTAGTCCTTTGAGAAGCCCGGGCACACTGGCTCAGCTGGGCCCGGAGAGCCGCCTTTGCTTTGGTTTCAGCAGCCGGGCGGCCCACGCAGGTTCTGGGCACCTGCGGAGCACGCCCAGCCCCGCATCTGCAGTGCGCTCCGCGGCCGTTCCCCCGCCCGGCGGCCGTCCCGGCGCGTCCTGGGCGTGGCTGCCTGGGCACGCCCTGCCTGCTGGGGGCGCAACGCCTCTCGGGAACCGCCGACTCACCTCCTCTGCAGCTCGCTTCCAGTCCAGACAGCCGGTGTAGACCACAAAGGCACCCGCTGCCAGGAAGACGCAGACCAGCATGCCCAGCCAGAGGCCTGCGGGGGACGAGCGGCCATGGGAGGCGTGTCAGGACCCCCGGCCTCTGCCCGCCGCACCCCACGTACCCATGATGCTCATTCTGGCCACGAAGGTCAGCACGCCGCCCAGCGGGAGGCCGATGGCGTAGTACATGACGACGTTGACCACGGCGCCGAAGGCCTGCTTCCCGGTGCCTCGCAGGATGCCGCTGTAGACACACTGGGGGCCGGAGGGGAGGGGAGCCGGCGTGAGCTTGTGCCGCTGTCGCCCAGCGCCACTGTCGCCCAGCGGGCGCCTTCCCAGGCGGAGACAGTGCATCCCGCTGCATTCCCGCCACACCTGGGTGGGCGGCCTGTCACCCTTTCCTCCTGGGAGGTGGGGGGTCAGGGCACGGGGTCACCTTTCACAGGGAGCCTGGCCCCCAGGCCCGGGTTGCCTCACCCGAGAGTTAAAGCAGGACTGGGAACCAAACTCGGTTCTGGCAGACCCGGCCCCGTGCTGGGGTATGCTCTGTTAGCTTCCTGTCTGCTGAAAAGGCTGCAGAGTGGCTTAAAACAAAGTTATTTATGGTTGGGTTTCCAAGTTCGCGCCTTACGGGTCTCTGCTAGTTTAGAGGCCCTAGGGCAGAATCTTTTGGCTCCTCGGAACATTCATTTTTGCATAGAAAAGCAGCTGGTGACTTCTGATAACCTAATATTTGCTTTTTCCAGCTTCTAAGATTCCTCCTGCAACCCGGGGCTCTCGGCCCCACATTGAAGCCTCTGCTCCTGGCCTGGTCTCCCTCTTGTTATAAAGACATCCCCCCCCCCATTACGCTGGCCATCCCAACCCCTTAGCTGAGTCATACAAGCCAAGGCTCACTTGCCGTGAAGCATTCACAGTGCCAGCAAGGAGGTGGTGGGCATCCCGGTGGGGAGGAGGTGTCACGCTGGCAGGTGAAGGTGTCTCCATCCCCTGGGAGGGGAGGGGACAGCGGCCCTGGCCCACCATGGCTGAGCCTCAGGGCCCAGGTGAGCATTGCTGGGGGTGGGCGTGGACCTCGCCTCCTTGGATTCTCCCACCTGGGTCTCCCACCCTAACAAGCCAGGGACCAGGCTCAGCTTACTGACCAGTGCCCTTGGCTGTTCTCGCCTCGTTCCTGTGAGGAATGTGGGCTAGTTTGCGGGGCATGTGTTCACGTTTGCACAGAGGACGGGCTGGGGATGGCTGGGTCTCGAACTTGGTGATACAGTGTCACGTGGCTGCTCGTTATACATGTGGGGTCTTCAGGAAGCACGGGGAAGGGACCAGCAGTTAGCGTAATGGCTATGTCGTTGGACTCCCATGTGGTCGACCGCGGTTCGAGTCCCAGACCTGGTGGCTTAAAACTCACGCCGGGCACGTGTGCGCGCGTGCCCAAGATCCCGAGAGGAGAATGGAGAAGGGATTGCGGCATGGCCACCCCCTCTGGGGGGTGATTTCTCGCTCTCTGTCTCTCTGTCTGTCCCTGCCTGGCTGGCTAGTGCACGTGCCCTATAGCAAAAAAACAAAACAAACAAAAAAAAAAAACCTCTCCAAAAAAAAACAAGCACGGGGAAAATGCTTAGGGGAAAACTGCATGGACTTGGACATTTTGTGCATCCCAATAAACTTGTACTTTCACTCCACTTTCCATAAGCTTTCTGAAGTTCCCTCATAGTAGGCATAGGTTATCTCTTTGTAAAGTTATTTAACGTTATGTAGTGTTATTTTTTAATGTGCTGGAGAGCACGTGCGCTCAGCAGAGAGAGCCAGAGAGAGGGACAGAGAGGGAAAGTGAGAAAGCAGCTTCCCGGCCCAGGACTCAAACCACAGTCAGCCAGCCATGTGGGAGTCTAGCACTTTAACCACCACACCACCTGCTGGTGCCTAGATGATCTTTTCTGCTTAAAAACAAACAACCACTTCGGTGGCCAGAAGGGTGGCATGCACGTTAAGGCGGCTAGCACGGTTTGAGTCCCAGACCTGGCAGCTTGAAGAGCATCTGAAAGGAGAATGGAGGGGAAAGAATTGCAGCGTGGTCGTCCTCCTGGGGAAGCTTTCTCTCTCTCTCTCTCTCTCTCTCTCTCTCTCTCTCTCTCTGGTGAACGCTTGTGTCCTATAGCAAATTTAAAAAAAAATAAAATAAAACTCTTCGAGTTTCAAGGCCTCTTGAATAACAATTGGCATGAGCATTCTCAAGCAGTGGTAATTTTTCCCCAGAGGGGACACGTCTGGAGACATTTTGGGTCATCCCAAGGACAGCGCCCAAACATGGGAGTCTGAGCGACACGTCGGACTGAGAAGCGTGATTGAGAGCGCTGTGGACTAAACTGCGGTCTGGCGGGCACACAGGAAGGCCGGGGCCTGCTCGCCTGACTGAGGGGCCTGCTGGGGAGAAGCCACAGACCGTGGTCCAGAGACTTAGCAGAGGGCTCCATTAGGTGAGCCCCCCTGGCTGGGCGCCGATGGGGTCTGCACACCCGCAATGGCCAGAGGCGGTGGCCAGGTGCAGCAGAGCCCAACGCAGGTCTGAGCCCCCTGGCGTCCCGCACGTGGGCAGGAGAGGACGGGAGGACCCAGGAGGAGGTCGCGGCTGGGCAGGCCTGACCGCCGCCCGGGTTTGATGTCTCCTGCCCAACCTGGTCCTGCTGTCAGACAGCGGCAGGCTTGCTCCCATCGGAGCTGTTTGAACGCCGTTGCTGCCCGGTCGCTGCTGGACATAACCCCTGCCGATATTTGTTAAGCCTAGGACGCGAGGGTTAAATATTTACAGAAGAGAAAGCTGAACAGAGATCGGCCACGTCACAGTCCAGGTGAGTAACTGAGCTGCCAGCACGCAGCAGTCCGGGGCGAAGGTCACACCCACCGCCCTCCAGGATGGACCCGCACTTGGCCAGAGACAGCCTCGCTAAGCTGAGAAAGGTTCATACGCAGTGTGTCCCTACAGCAGGGTTAAGACAGAGACGCCTACCAGGAAGCACGCCACAGATATTTCGGGATTAAGTAATAAATGAGATACTTCTAAGCCCGTGTGGTTCAGAGAATACATCACAAGAGAAATTTTTTTTTTTTTTTTTTTTTTTTTTTTGGTTGCCAAAGCACGTGTGTGCTCCCTGGAGAGACAGAGAGGGAGGACGGCCACAGTGCGGTCCCTTCTCCATCCTCGTAGGATCTGGGGCATGTGTGAACACATGCCCACCACGATTTTAAAGTCGCTGTGTCCGGGGCTTGAACTGCAGTTGACCACATGGGAGTCCAGCATCTTAACCACCATGCCACCTGCTGGGCCCTCAGGAGAGAAATTTTTAATATTTTGAATTTAATGAAAAGGAAAGCAATGTAGCAAAATGAGGAAGATGCAGCTAAGGCAGTGCATGGAGGGAAATGTATTCTCTCAATGCCTCAGTCAGAAGAAAGGGAAGGATTCACAGCGGGGATTAGCAGTCCGCCCTAAGAAACTAGCCTAATTATACCTAAATGGAGGATGAGAACAATAAACAATTCGAGCACAAGTGCTTAAAACGAGCACCACAGAAAAAATCAAGGGAACCAAAAGTTCAGGTGGCATGGGCTAACGGCACTGGACTCCCACAGCAATGATCGTGGTTCGAGTCCTGGACCTGGCTTTCTCTCTCTCTCTTGCTCTGTGCCTCTCCGGTCAAATAAAAATAAATAAAGTTACATAAAATAATTCTTTAAAAAAGTTCATAATACATAAAACGGACACTTAACAAGAATCTGGCCTTTGTAAAATAAGGCCAAGAAAATAGAATAACAAATGATTCTTTTGGGGCCAGCAGGTGGTGTAGTGGTTAAGGTGCTGGACTCCCACGTGGCCTACCGTAGTTCGAGTCCCAGACCTGGTAGCTTGAAACTCACGCTGTGTACATGTGTGCTCAAGATCCCAAGAGGAGAAGGGACTGTGGCTTGGCCATCCACCCTGGGGGAGGTGATTTCTCACTTTCTGTGTCCAGCAAACACACACACCCTGTAGCAAAAACACTCAAAAAAATTATTTCAACAATAAGTAAGACACAAATGACCAACATCAGGAGTGAGAAACTGGGTATGATTACACATCAGAAAGAAAGGGTTGGAGGCCGCAGAACTGGAGACCTTTGGGGTAGGCCCACATGAGGGTCCCATGCTCCCCTCCCCAAGGGCTTCCCGTAGCCTGAGGTTGGCCAAGCCCGGGAGGGGGCTATACATTGAGCCCCTGATGGAGGAGCTCTCTCTCCCCTTTTCTTTCTCTGTTTCTCTCAGAAGAAATCAACTTGAAAACAAATTATTAGAAGCAGAAATAATAAAAAGCTTCATGCCAAAGAATTAGACAATTTAGTTGAAAAGAAGAAATTCCTAGAAAGGTACAAATTTCTAAAACAAATTCAATAAGAAACAGCAAGTCCAGGAGATGTTGGTTAATAGACACAAGATTATAGTTAGATAAGGACTAAGTCCTGGTGTTCTACAGCATAGGGGGTAACGATCACTAACAGTAGGTCCTATATTTAACAATAACTACAATGCAAACGTTTGCAGCAGGAGCGATGGGTCTGAGATGATAGTTATGCTAATTATCCTGATTTGATTATTGCACATTGTAATCAGAAACTGAAAATCCCTCTACACCATATATAGTACAGTATCCAGCGGGTGGCATGGTGGTTAAGATTCTGGACTCCCACATGGCTGACTGCAGTTCAAGGCCCAGACCTGGTGGCTTGAAAGTCACACCAGACGTGTGTGTGTACATGTGCCAGATCTCAGGAGGAGAAAGGAGGAGAAGGGTTTGAAGTATGACCATACTCCCTGGGGGTGATTTCTCACTTTCTCTCTCACTGTCTCTGTCTGTCTCTCTCCGATGAGCACAGTCGCCTTATGGCAAAAACCTTAAAAAAAAAAAAAAAAGAAGTTAAAATAATAATTTTTTTTAAGTTCATAAAAAGCCAGAAAGTCTGACTAGACTCTAACAAGTAGATTGAGCCAATAACTTAAAATCTTCTGACAAAGAACAGCCCCGGCCCAGATGACTTTATTGGCAAATTTAGTTAAATATTTGAAGAAATAGCACGAGTCCTTCACAGACTTCCAGAAAGCGCAGGAGAGAATACCGCCATTGCTCACGATATGAAGCCAGTGTTAGCTTTATAGCAAAGCCAGACCGAGACAGCACAGGAAGAGCTTACAAATATCCATCAAAATCTCTAACAAGGGACCAG